TCACGCAAATCGTATGAAGCCGTTTGTTGATCCTAATTTGAGACCAATTGACCCTCCGCCTTTTGATGACTCTGCCGAGCCGTACATTAATGAATCTGATATTCCAAAAGATTGTTTTGAGCCAGTTTCTGCTGAACCGAATCCTAAAGACACTGACTTAAATCCAGTTAGTATTGAGACGCAATTGTCTCCACAGCCTCAAAAAGAGAACGAGTCAAACAAAGAATCATACCGCGAAAAAGCAAAGAATCAACTTCAAAATGCAAAAGAATCAACTCCGGAAGCAATTGTTATCGACAATGAAACTGTGTTTAGTCCAGAAAAAATTCTAAAACACCCAAAATATACCCAAAATATTTTTGTCCATGAATTTATGAACGCCTTCTCTCCGTTTTTCTAGTCTATCTTTAAGCTTTTTGTGAGTTGTTTACAATATCATGAATTTGATAAGTTTTTGAAGTCAGAAGTTCTGTTATCAGTTAGTTTTCCATTAGTGTCTGAAATGTTATTATAAATTAAGTTCTTCATTAAGCAAGTTGAGTAGTTCTCTTCATTATCAAGTTATGCACTCGTGAAATTATTGCATCTAATGTCTTTTTAAAATCTTTTGATCTATTAGCTTCTATATTTATGTTATGTTTATGTTTTGATTAACTTGTTTGTGTAAACCTTAGACGTCGGAATTTAGATAATTAGATATATTACTTGCTTTGTAATAGTTTTATTTTTCAAAGTTGCTTGCATTGGTATTTCGTCATGTATTCAATCACCTATTCTTCTGTTGTTCTTCGATGGCTTGTCGGTGATTTTTCGTCACTTTGTAGTACTGAAATGGATCTGAGCATTACTCGATTATTTGTCTCCAAGAAGTCTAAACACACTTTGATCTTTCCGCATGGCATTGGCTACTCTGTTTGGTCGAGTTTGACCCCTTCTTTGTTACAGTTAAGCAGAACTGTTCTTGTTGATACTTAGCACTGGTCAGTACATTCTGTCTTCATCAGACGAGTTCGCTTCATTTGGAGCTGTGTTTCATAACAAGAATTATCAGTGATTTACAAACAAGATAGCCTTGTCTTCCAAGTATGCGTTGTCCGCTACATTCAAGTTGAAATGGCATTTCTAGCAACCGTCTTGTATGCTACTACAGGATGATATATGCTGTTAATTCTCAACGTTTTCAAGTGGTTCTCTAGTCAAGTCCTTCACAAGAACACTAACACTGTCATCAATTTATTTAGCTCAAGTTTTCAAGTCTCAAGATTCAAGGACAATGTATTGAACACTGAACTATTGACAATGAGCAGTTGATCTTGTTTTAATTAACATTGTGCAGTGTGGTAGTTTTGTTTTGATATTTCACGAACCTATTTCCCATTTATATGTATTACGTCCTTTTGCATCGAGGACGATGCTTTTTCCAAGGGGGAAGAATGTTGTAAAGTAGTTTGAAAGTTATTTTTAAGACGAATCTATCTTATTTTTAAGTTTAGTTTTTGTTTCGTTAAGTCTTGTTTTTGTCCACGTACTGTTTTCCTGTCTTGATCTTTTGTTTTTACTTGAATTTGAAGTTATGCTTAGCTTGCGAATTTACTTATTTGCCATATTAGGAATGTTACAGGTGGTCGTGTTTGTGGTGTTAGAGCTGACCTTCGTTCATTGGTAATTATCAGCTGCGGCTGTGCGTAGGCTAATCTATTCCCTGAAAACAGCAAACCTGTTACAATGTTAGCGATAAGGTATACAATAGAAACTCTTCCGGTCAGCTAACCCAAACATGTCCAGCTTTGGCTATTAAAAACCGCTACTATACTTGAACTAGGTAGAGTAGGAAAAGTAGGGAGAAGTAGAGTAAGCAGAAGTTGTAAAAAGATTAAGAAGAATAAAGGCCAATATGTAAATTAGATTCCCGGTACCTCATCGTGTAGCGAGCGAGTTGCTCGAACACACCCCCACACTCATCTTCTAGTGTATTAGTCCTTAACAGAACATCTGCGTCTCTCCTGCACACATTTGTTGCATACACTACTCAACTTTCCATTTCCATTCATCATACCGGTAATTCTTTCTTACACCACCACATCCCGCGTAAACGCCCTCGGGCGTCCTCTTGTTTAAACTAGCACAATGTTATTGTCAATAACTTTAGCTTGGTGATTGGCTACTGATAACAAGTAACGGAGTTTTATTGGCTTAAAATTTGACCGGTTGAGTCACATCACTGCCCTGCGTAAATTTGTTTTGCAAACTTCAAACAAGAATGAGATCAGCGATGTTTATTGCCTAGAAAAACGGAGGAATTTTAGGGCTTTATAAAGTCGTAAACTAACCCAAGGTTAAATATTATTCCAAGGAAAGATTTTGGAGCCGCTTAAGTAAACGAACAAGTCAAAGCACTGTACGGTTAAACTGTCAGTACATCAAACTAGCCTGGCAGTTTAGAAGAGTTGTTAACCGATCAGTACGAACAGAAATCGTGTACGGCTGGTTGTTTACTTCA